AATCTAATCTAATCTGCCGAATGGATAAGAACTGTTGCTGCCGCATTGGATAGGATGAGAACACCGGATCACTGCTGCTGCTGCACTAAATTGCTGCTGTTGGCGTCCACATCAAGGAAACTCTTAACTCCTCTATCCTTTTTATGGTTCTTTCTCATTGTGGCATATGATTCACTTATCATGATAAAATGGAAATATAATAATCTGCAATCCAATTAACTATTGTGAACCCAGAGAGGAGGCTAAATCTTCAAAACTGAGAAGATAAACTTATTCCAGCTGGAGAAAGGTTAACTTCAGTAAGAAAAAAGGAGAGAGATATATAGGAGGTACACAGTCAAAAAAAAAAAAAACAGGGGTGCCTAAACAAAAATCAGGGCACTAAATGACTGCTATGCAAATCAGATCACAGAACTCCAGCCTTTGGTAGACTATCAAGCAACAGAGTTCAAAATATTCTCTTGAGATCCAATGAAATTGAGAGTGCAATGAGCTTGCAAGGTCTTGGGGTTCAGTTAAGTAATGAAAAAGCCTCCAGGAATCTCCCTCTTGTGACCCCAACGACTTGATTACATTAGCAGAATCACCAAGCACAAGAAGGGAGGAGATGCCTATCCTAATAGCAATTCACAGTACACAGCCATTGCTTTTGCCTTTGTGTTATTAGCAACACCAAGTGGGCCACTAAAAGTTATAAGGTCTCACCATGAGCAGATAGTAATAGACCACCAATTCCCACAGGACCCAGGTTTCCAGAAGAACTGCCATAAAGAAATAGCCATACACCAGACCAGTTAAGATTAAAAGAGAAATCCATAGACCTCGCTATCGGGCTTGACCAGAGGTAGCAATGCAGCTTTCTTTGAATGCCATCTGAGGCAATACCCTTAAAAATCTTATCTTCCGAAGCCCATGAACTGGCATACCATTAATATATTATCTTTGATCTACATGAAACTACTCACCTTAATTTCAAAGATATGTCAGTTCCTCTCTTCCCATATTCCCCACAATACTGCATGAGGGATAAGGTTCCAAACTAATTTACCTCATTGTCCCAAACCTTTTAGTCTCCATTGACAGATTAAATCAGAAACGTGAAGAGGGAAAATCCAGTGAAGAGTTAGGGCACTAGAAAAAAGATCCACATTCTTCTCATCATCTCATAGTGAAGAAGAAGGTGGTTTATCGTCTCCCTTTCTTGGAAACATAAAACACACATGTGGTGAGAAATAAAACCTGACTTGCACACTTCTTCATTGGGAAAGGTTGAGCATGTGGTGTTAAAACATAAAACACACATGTGGTGTTAATTTTCCCAGATAGGCTTCCCAAATAAAAAAACTAACTTTACTCGGAGAAGCAGTGCTCCAGATCTTCTTCATTGGGAAAGGTTGAGCATGCACATCTGAGCTTAGAACCTGAAAAAAAGAGCTAGTTGAGAACTTGCCTGAAGCCTGCACTATCCAGGTTCTATGGTCCAAGTGATGTGGAGAGAGATAAATCTCTGCAAGGGAAGTGAGGAGTCTCAAAAGGTCTTGGGCTTTGGTATCATGTAGGGGTCTATGCCTACGAAGATTCCAAGAAAGGGGGGGGGGGAAGAATGAGCAACAAGACTAGAAACATTGGCATATTAAGAGAGAGTCTAGAAAGACAGGGTAAGGACATGGCTTGGGGACTATTGTCACCAAAGACCAGTCCAGAACCTAATATGGTGTCCATTGCCTACTGTATATTTACAGTGTGATAAAAAGAGGGCGTATGGTTTAAGTACCTTTCCTAGGGGATTGGGAGTGCACTCTGTTGGTGTGGAGTCTACAATCCCAACCGTTAGCATGCTGTCCATACCTGCTTTTCATGACTCTAGCCCATAGGCTGCCTTGTTCAAGAGGATACCACCAGAGCTATTTCCCAAGTAGAGCAATGTTCATCTCACTGATTCTTCCAATTCCTAAACCACCTACATTCTTAGGTTGGCAGACCATATCCCATCTGACCATGTTCCCCATGACCATTTGTACCCTCCCAAAGAAATTCCCTCTGAAGCCTTTCAATTCTGTCTCTAATTCGGGTTGAAATTTTGAAGGCTGAAAGAAAGTATGTTGGGAGATCTGCCAAGGCTGCTTTGGTTAAAACAATTCTTCCACCCTTGGAAAGATAATCTTTCTTCCAACTTGCTAAGGCTTGAATGTAATTAATCCAATTTATTTGATTTCTGACTTCCTTCGCTTGGCTGGCCTTGTTTATATGATTCCCTTTATGTATTTGTAATTTTCAAGTTGGAATCTCGTTCAATATTACCTTTGGTGACTATTTTCATGGTGGTTAACACACTGTACTGCTTTATTATCATTGGTCAAAATGAAATTGTATGCTTCAACCATATTTAGTGCAATAGGGATTCTCGATTTTCCACCATGAAAATTGAATGTATCAGTGATGTTAGGCATTGAAGAAAGAGCCAATCCTTTGGAAACGTCAACCTTGTAGGCATCAAGCTGTATAAGTTGGTAGTTTACATTGACCATTTTTCATTCCCTCTGATCCTGCAGGCTGGAGTCTGGATTAACCAAATTACTAGTAAAGGCATGAATGTCTTTTCTAGAAAATGCATGTAATGGTAAGAAAACCAAGTCCTTGGAAGGGTTTAGTGCTTAATTATAAAGGACCTCAAACAAGGGATTTTTGGAGTATCAAATAATTATGTTATTATAGATCAACTAAATTCTTATAATTCCTACTCTAGCTACATTGTATTTAGTTAGACAGCTGATGCTAAACTTGATTTTTTTTTCAGTTTTGACAATTGTTTATGGATTATACACACCAGAGAATTGATGATCAGTTTCCTTGCACTTTGAAAATGTTCTAAAAATGATTCAAGTTCTATATTGACCTGACAGTCTAATTATTTATATTACCAACAATGGGAGTTCATTAAAGATCAGAAAGATAAAAATTACAAGACTAGAAAAGAGGATGTTTAGTCAGGAAAATCCACAAAGAGTTGCCTAATTGTGGACATTCTATTTCCTTCCCTCTCAGTGAAGGCATTTTGCATCTTTTGGAGAATAGAGTTATGCCTGGAAGTGTTATCGATCACACCTTAGGTGGCTCTTGTCTGCTTGGATCCTTGAGTTTTGGGGACATGATCATATGGAGGATAACATCTTCCTCAGTATGCTTGTGAAATTCCATATATTTGAACAAAATTCTGGACTTCTTGTGTTTAGACAGGCTTACTCACTGTTTCTCCACTTACCATTTATGCCTAGACTCTAAAGCTCAATCATATTTATCAATAGCTGGGATGATGATTCATGAAACTTTGTTGGGGCATCATTTCTTTACTTTGTCATAGAGTAAGTGGAGAAACTAGACTCAGTCTATTGTAGCTGGAATTCATGGTTTTATGCAGATCTAGACTCAAGATTACTGGGCGTCATGGCTTTATGCTTAATCAACCCATGCTGGTCTGGGGTTTTATAACTATTATATTAATTAAAATAAACTTCTATTAGCCTAAGAAATATAATTTCATATTTATTACATTGCACTCAGAAAGATCTATTTGGCTACAAACCCTATTTCTGCAAGAAGATCTCGTTGATTGGGGTTTGGGGATAGAATCCAAGGTTATGTCTTAGATTGGTGGTTTGAAAATTTGAAGCTAGGCCTTCTATTATTGGTTATGTGGAGTCTTGTTAAGAAAAATAAAAGAAAAGTGGTAATTCTTCATGAAAAGACACAAATAGGCCTCAAGCACATGGCATCACATAAAAAGCAATCTGAAAAAGAGAAGAAAAAATAATTTGGGAGAATAGGTGCCCCAGTACAACTTGGAACCCCCTATTTCAAGAGAGTCAACCAAAGAACTGGTATCTTTGCACCCATATGAAGATATTCACGTGGATGCAAAAAGATCTAGACTATTTGATGCGAGGTTGAAGGGACCAAGGCTCTTCACCATTGTTTCTCATCCATTTGATAACAACACAACAGTCACCCTCTTATCTCTATAGATCCTGAAAGAAAGACTAAATGATCTTCCCCTCTTGATCAAGGATTCCTCCCCCCCTGTGCCCCGCCAAATAGCCTATATTCCCATTGGATCAGCCATTAATTGCCAATAAGTTGATAGGCCCAGTGATAGGCCCACTGGATCAGCCCTAGCAGCGTTCGATTTCCCTCTCTCTCTCTCTCTCTCTCCCCTTGTCTTCTTGCCACCACCGCTGCAACTCTCAGCAGTGGCATTTCCTTCTCCCTCCCTCTCTCTCTCTCTCTCTCTCTCTCTTTCTCTCTCTCTCTCTCTCTCTCTCTCTCTCTCTCTCTTTCTCTCTCTCTCTCTCTCCCCCCTATCTTCTCGCTGCCACCGCCGCAACTCTTTGCATTGGCATTCGATTTCCCTCACCCTCACCCTCACCCTCTCTCCCTCTCTTCCCCTGTCTTCCCGTCACCGTCGCTGCAACTCTCAGCAGTGGCGTTTGGGTTCCCTCTCCCTCTCTCTCCCCCTGTATTCCCACCACTACCACTGCAACTATCAGCAGCGGCGTTCGAATTTTATTCTTAATAATTTATTTTTAATTTATAAATTTATATGTATTTCCAATTTTATTCTTATTTTAATAAATTATCTTTTTTAATTTTTATTTGTATTAATTATTAATTATTTGATTTTTTTTTAATTATTAAATAGTTTAACAGGTTTAATTTAATAATTTGATAATTATTAAATATTTTTTTCATTGCTGCATGGACTTTATTACTATTTTCGTTATTATTTTAACTTTTAATAATTTATTTTTAATTTATAAATTTATATTTATTTTCAAAATTATTCTTATTTTAATATTTTTTTAATTTTTTTATAATTTATAGTAATTTGTTCATATTTTTCAATATTATTTTGAATTTAATAAATTATATTTTATGAAATAGTACAAGTTGAACTCAAAATTACCAAATAGAATGTTCTAGGGGTAAAATAGTAAAATTAAGGAATTTCAGATGCTGAAGGTTTGATCGAACACAAACAACCTTCTCTGTTCAGAGCATCCAAAATGTCAAAAAGCATCTGTCTCTTTTCAGATTTTAGATGCCATTAATATCTTTTTAACTTTTCAGATTTATCAAATGCCACCTAAGTACTTAAGTACTGAATGTTTGCTGTAAAAGATGAAGAGGTTTTTAGAGTAGAGGTGTTTCCTGTATTCCCTTAGCGACAAAATCAATAGGACTTCTTCTATTTGGAGTTGAGTTTTATTGATGGGGCTCATCAACACTCAACAATTTCAAGGGTATGTTGCCTTCCAATGTGCATTTGTTGTTGTTGTTATTATTATTATTATTATTACTAAACTACGATTTTAGGTGTGTATGGGGTGGGAGGGCGGGGGGGAGGGGGTAGAGGCCCTCAGTTGCCTCTGTGGTGAAACAGATACCTGATAGCAATAAAAGAAGCGTATTGGGATAACACAGATAACTTTCTGCTATATATCCAAATAGAAGAGGAATTTACTGTATTGAAGACAAAAGGATGCCAACTCACTCAAAAGGAAATGAAGGATGTTGAAGTCTTTCATGTTTCAGAGTCAGTGTTATGTAAAGATTGCAGTCAAAGAGGTTGAGTGGTCTATTAGAATGCTAGATTCAGTAAGTTCACAAATGTGGCATGCAGATTGCTTGTCCTTCCATAAATAAGAGCAAGAGAGCAAGGATGTTAAAGATGCTTAGAAGTTTGATACCCTAATGAATTTCTGATTCTTCACTGCCATCAAAACTGTATTACATTTTTATTATTGATTAACCATAACTTGTGGAATTCATGCTCATATGCTATTTTGTTTATTCTGTATTTAGTTGCATAACTGGTAACTGTTGCTTACCTGAACTAAAACTTAGAAGGTTTATCATGGCAGGTATACCATTCGAGTTTTGTTGATGAGGAAGGTATTACAAAGGCTTGTGGATGCCCTCTACTTCCTCTAAAAAGCCATATAAAGGGTCCTGCTCCAGTTTCAGATCAAGGTTATTTTATGCTCTTAGGTTTTGTTCAACTATAGTCTCATTATATTTCTTGGACTTTCATTGATCACCTAAGATTACTTTTGTTACTTCATTTATTTTTTGCAGACACAACCGATATTGTTGATGAAGCTATTACATTCTTTCGTGCCAATGTATTCTTCAGAAACTTTGATATCCAGAGTGCAGCTGACAAGCTTCTCATCTATCTCACATTTTACATCAATGTAGCATTGAAGAGGATAGAAGGCTGCAGAACTTTGGCTGAAGGAACAAAAGCTGTCATCAACTTGGGTCTTGAGAAGGTCCCTGTTCCTGGAGAGCCAGGTTTTCCCTTTGGGGGCCTGTTTGCACCTCCTGAGTCTCTTCAAGAAGCAGGTAAGTATCCACTTATGTCTCTAGTTATCTTCAGTGTTTTATAAATCACTTTTAGGGTGTAAAGTGGTTGTTTGTGCTGTCATACTTTAAGCGCATTCCCATTATGATACAAGAAAATCTCCATCAACATTTACCTTTTTATTCCAATGATTTATTAGACAAACCATAAAGTTTAGCTTTGTCAAAATATGAGAATCTACATTCCTCTTTTCATGTTAAAAAAGTTCTATAAAAGTTCTCCATCCAGTGTTGGAGTGTTCGTCAGATTATTTTGAGTCTGACATAATATTTGGGTCAGGTCAGGCAGATAGGTCTGATCAGGGGCTATTTTCATTGTATTACCATAAGCAGAATTTGTATGTTAGTGTGTCATTTTAGGTTGTAGGACTGTGAGTCTATTGGGGTAATTGGGTCATGTCTCTTGTTTCTTTTTGTGGATTCTGTGTGGTTATGGTATAGACAGGGGTAAGGCTGAAGGATTATCTTTATATGTGTTTGTATTTTCTGTTCTTTGTGACTGTGGTAGTGGAAAATAGTTTTCTTGCATGGATGTATGTTACCTAATACTGGATCTCCAGAAGAAAAGAATAGTGATGCCTGGAAGAATCTATATCAAGCTGGAAACTGGCTTCAAGGCTGTCAGCTTGCTTAGTTTTGAAACTGCTTAAATGTAACTTGCATAGGGGTCTGGAAAGAACTCGAGTGCCAGAAAGTTTAAGAAAAATAAAGGGAAACTGATCTAGGTTGTGCTATTCAAGGATAGCAAAAAATTTAATAACAAAAACAACAAATAGATAAAATTTGCTTTGTCAATACTAAAAGCTAACAGGATAAGAACTCTGTTATGAGAGAAGGAGCATGCCTGGTGGAGATTATTGGGCTGTCATAATAGTATGACAACTCAATTACAACTTTGAAGCAGAAGGCATACTCTCTTTCTATATTACTAACATCATTAGCATCACAGCCTCATTAAAATAGCTGGTCTGGAGTTATTCTCGAGAAGTTTCAGAAGCAGGATCCATCTCTGATGGGAAGGATTAGAGGTTGCATTGTCGATTCAGCTCCAGTTGCAGCTCCCAATCCACAGGTTTGGGTGTCAGGTTTCTCTGCTGTATTTTTGAAAAAACAGAGTATGACAACAAAAGGATTGATTCGCTTAAAAGAATATGGCAAAGTCTTGATTGGGGGAAATGGAGGTGTTCATGGAGGCAGGTCTATGGAGAATTTTGAAGATAGAAGCAAAGGAGTTCTTCTTTGAAGAAATGAGAATCAGGGGAAAGCCAAGCCTGAATGTAAGGGAAGCAAGAAGGGTATGATTCCGCTGGAAGGGCTAGAAGTAGTTGAATGGTTTAGGGACTTCATAACTGAAGCATGTTCTAAAGGCAAGCAAACAAATGGGCAGGAGTCTGGTACTGAAGAAGGCAAAAGATATGTGGTTGAATGTAAGAGGAATATCAAAGGATTTTACATAGCCCTGTTTGAACACTTTGGTAGGGGAAGAAATCAGCTTAGTATGTTTCCCAGAAGGAAGACAGCCATGGCTGGGGGGAAATTAACAGATTACTTAATGAGTTTTTGTGTCAAAGGGTATCAACTGAAAAGGAAATCTTCACAAGGGAGGAGAAGGTGGACCAAAGTATTAGTAGGTAGGATGCCATGGAACAGGAGCCTGTGTTCATGGTGAAAACAAATGGCCAGTGCAGAATGGTGGGTGCTTCAAAGAGAGAAGAGTGGGAGAGAAAATTTGTAATCCAAGCATAGGATCAGGTTAGTGATTGGAGGAGGGTTTCCGATTTAATGGACTTAAGATTGAAACTGAAAGGAGTGTTCATAGTAATCCCCTTCGATAAATGTAAAGCTCTTTTAGACCTGGTAGAAAACGGAGTTGATGTTTTGGCTATTAACATTCAGTCTGATGTTGGATCCTTCACAGTTGTCAAATGGAGTCCAACGTCTAACTCCAAGGAGTTCATCAAAGATGGTGTGCTGGTGTGTGTTATAGGCTTGTCATTCCATCTGTGGAAATGAAAGGGTACTTTAGAAGTCAAAGATTTCAGACCTATCAGCTTGATTGGGAGCATGTACAAAATTTTAGCAAAGGTTCTAGCTGAAAGACTAAAGAAAGTTTTAGGTGAAATCATTTTCCCAAATCAATTTGCATTTGTCAAAGGGTGACAAATTGTTGACAGCATCATAATAGCAAACAAATGTGTAGAAGAGAGGAAGCTGAATGGAAAACCAGGTGTAATTGTGAAACTTGACTTGGAAAAAGCATACGACAAAATAGACTGGGAGTGTCTCATGGAAACTATGAGGTTAATGGAGTTTGGAAGAAAGTGGATTCAGTGGGTTGAGGGGTATATAAGACAAGGCTGCCCCCTCTCCCCATTGCTTTTTACTCTTGTCACAGAAAATTTTAGCCAATTGGTGAATAAGGCTATTTCTCTGGGTCTGTTGAGAGGTTTTGAAGTCGGACGGGAAGCCACTCAGATTTCACATCTCCAGTTCGCCGACAACACTATCCTTTTCCTAGAGGCTGATGAAGAAATTGTTTCAAATCTGAAAAGGGTCATCACCTGCTTTGAATGGATTTCTGGACTGCAAGTCAACTTCTCTAAGAGCAGTATCGTTGGCCTAAATCTAGTTGGTGCACATTCCCTGAATACTTTCACAGAGATCTTGGGATGCAAAGCGGAGAATCTCCCCTTCTCCTATCTGGGGATGCCTCTTGGAGGGAATCCAAGAAATCAAAGTTTTTGGGAACCAATACTAGAAAAATGTGAGAAGAAGCTAGCCTCATGGAAAAGGAACTACCTGTCCAAAGGGGGGGAGACTCATTCTCATTAGAGCCTCTTTGGCAAACCTTCCCACCTACTACCTTTCTATTTTCTGCTTGCCAAACAAGATAGCTATTCAGTTAGAAAAGCTTCAGAGAAATTTTATTTGGGAAGGAGGTGGGGAAAGGGGCTCTCACCTTGTGAGGTGGTCTCAGGTCTGCAAACCAAAGGAAGGTGGTGGGTTGGGAGTAGGCAACTTGAAAGAAATAAACACAACTCTTCTCAGTAAATGGTTGTGGCAATTCCCCCTAGAACCAAGTGCTCTATAGACTGCTGTAATCACTCGCAAATATGGGAAGAATGCCAACGGTTGGGATAGCAAGCTTCACTTGAATTGGGTCAAATACACCCACCCTTGGAAAGGTATAACCTCGACTTACACTTTTTTCATCTCTTTTATCAGATATAAGGTGGGAAAAGGGTGATAGAATTAAGTTCTGGACTGATCTTTGGTGGGGTAACTCAACCTTGGCCAACTCCTTCCCTCGCCTTTTCAGCCTTACCTCAAACCAAGAAGCTTCCATATCCCAGGTTTTACCCCCTTCCCCCCTTATTTTGGAACCTAACTCTTAGGAGACCACTAAGGGACCTGGAACTTAGTGAAATCACTAACTTCTTGCACACTCTGAGAGAGGTATACCTTTCCTGACCTTCGTGTGTGGACCCTTCACCTATCTGGTAAGTTTTCAACCAAATCTTGCTTCAAGGCTTTAGTTAGGGATGAACAAACCACTGATCAGTACCCGTACAAGAGAATTTGGTATGCCCATATCCCTTCCAGGGTCTGTTTTTTTTGTGTGGGAGGCCAGCTTAAAGAAAATCAACACTTATGATCTCCTTCAGAAAAAGAACCATGGAAGGTCTTATTTATCCCCCCATGTCTGTTGCTTCTGCCTTAAGGCCGGGGAATCTGCTAACCACATCCCGCTTCACTGTGAGGAAACTAGAAAATTTTGGAACTTTTTCCTAACATTATTTGAATACAGTTGCGTTTTCCCAGAACATGTGGTCGTATGCTTAGGACAATGGTCAGGAAGAGGTTTAAGCAAAAGGGGGGGGGGAACTCTATGGCAATCTGCTGCACATGCTATATTTTGGAGCATTTGGGAAGTGAGAAACAACCGGGTGTTTAACAACAGAACAAAAATCTGTGAGGAGCTTATTTCTCTAATCTGTTACAGATGCTTCCTGTGGACTTCCAGCTCAAATTATTTCAGAGGTGTCACATTTTCCGGCCTCCAAAGAAATGCCATAAATTTTCTTCACTCTAATCACATACACCTCAACACTTCCCGCAGTTTCAGATTTGCCAAGGAAGGGGAGACAACTTTGTACCTTGATGGGAGTGCTTTCGGAAACCCAGGTGCAACGGGTATTGGAGGCGTAATTCGAAGAAGAGATGGTACTATCAGTTGGGCTTTTATTGGGCCGGTTGGGATAGCTTCCTTAACAAAGGCTGAAGTCATGGCAGCATTAACCGGCATCAGGATTGCAAGAGACCTGGGTTTATTAAATCTTACCATTAAAGGAGATTCAGCCAACACCTTTAATTGGTTCACTAATCCTGATAGTGGGCCTTGGGCCTTAGCTCACTACTTGGCTGAAGAGAGAGACATCCTCTCCTCCTTGAATTCTCACATGGGCTGGGTTCCAAGGGAGCTAAACTCTGAAGCTGACAGTCTAGCTAAATCTGGCACTTACAGGGATTACTTATTCAGTGATAGTTTTCTGCCTATGTAACTCTTTGAGTGTCTGCTTTCTGTGTACATCTCCTCATGTACCTTTCTTATTTTGAATAAAGTTAACCTTTTCTCAAAAAAAAAAAATCAGTGGAAACAAAAGTGGCAGAGTCTATAATTAGCAAACGATGGAGAAAGGGAAGTTTCTGCTGGCAGCAGTTTGGAGATCTCTAAAGGTTGAAGCAAAGCAGTTCCTCTTTGAAAGCTTCAGGGTGAAGGGGAAGAAAGCTTTAAAAATCAGAGAAATAAATATGGCCATGGTTTTCCTGGTAGGGGAAGAAGCATTTGGTTGGTTCCAGACTTTCATGGAGGATGCTATTCAGATGAGTTGGAAGATAGATTGCAAAGATTCACTGAGGTTAATTAATGGCAGGAGGTATGTAGCAGAAAGAAGAAAAAGAAGGTATATGGTGCTTATGTA